GATAGAAAGAAAGCAAGAAGATAAAAGATAGAGGGGTGAAGAAGAAAGAAGGGCTTGTGGGTTAGGTGGGAATGGTCAGATGAGTTTAACGGATATGAGGAACCAGAATAAGGGAGGTAGTTTCATTACAGAAGAGAAGAAGAAGAAAGAGAGTGAAATGCTAAACGAGTGGTTAGAAGGAGATGAACACCAGGGGAACTTTCGGTTTCTGGAAAGGGAGGACAAAACAGGAAGTGGCCAGTTAGGGAGTGATAGCGTGACATCACAGCACCTAAATAAAAGAATCTTTATACAGCTGACCTTTGACCCCTTGGGATGCTGAAACATGTTTGATTATCTTTTGGGGTTTTTTTCATAAAGAAGGTTCACTTCAGTTCTGTCAGAAACCTGAAATGGTGCTGCACTATGTAACTCAATTAAAGGTGAAGTGAATACATTTTCCAAATAAAATACTTTGCTTTAACCCAGTTTTACAGTAAGTAGGCTTTTTGAAAATAGAAACATTACATTATGAGTTTATGGCAGGACGTCCCATATGTCAAAAGCATAAAAGGGTGGTAGGAGGTTTTTGGAAAGATACTGCCAAAAATAACGCCAGTACTTTTGCATTAATAACATCATTGTTTTTACAGTTCCATCTGATGCTACTATTAGTGCGGAAATTAAACACTTCACCTTTAAAGGAATGTTTTGGAATAAATACAACTTAAACTGAAATATCACAGAATTTAGAATTCTGTTGACAGATTTGAACTTGTTTTTAACCCCAAAATATTCCTGTAAGTTCTGTGTGACGTCAAATCTAGAAATATTGAACATCTTATCTTTTTTTGCTGCTTTTGTAATCTAAATACTCATGTAAAACTATGCAGCAAGTTTCCGTTATCGGATTTTAAAGTCCTGAGATTTTAGTTCTAGTCTGCAGCACATAGACTCTTTATCAACCTGCATTCAGTTCACTGGATATTGGAGGGTAGACTGGGTTTACACTGACAGAACCAAGAAAATAAAGAAGTGAAAGAGAAAGAGTGAAGCTGACAGGAGGCGCACACAGAGGAGCGCAAACAGAGGAGTGTATACTGAAACCGATGACAGAAAGAAAGAAAGAAGAAAGGCAATAAAAACAGAAAGAACATGAACAATACAAGATTGGAAATCTGCTAGTTTGATCCTGTAAGAGATGAGATGAGTACGAGGAAGGCAGTGGCTTGATTGTACGTGATCGTGTTTGTCGTGATAAAATATATGATTAAAGCAGATACATGATTCAGTCTGACAGCATTTTACTGTTCACCTGTGGAGAGAACAGAGGACAGCAGGAAAGGGAGGGGACGAGACAGCTAGAGGAGAAAAATCAGTGATATGGAGGAAGTGAAGGATAATGGCATGGAAAAGTGCACAGAAGAAAATAAACCCAAAGAGACAGAGAAAGAAAAGTAAATTGGTATGTAAATGAATGGCACGTTAGCACAGAAAAAGATGTATGAGCTCCATTTGACTGCCAGCTCAATGACACTGATGTCCACAGGACCATAGGGAAGAGCCGAGAGTGATATAGTGTATTCTTAAATCTGGACCACAAATCAGTTTTCATTTTCTGCGTTGGTTTAACCTTTAATGTTGTAACCTTTAAAGGATTGTTACACTGTAGCTTAATATATACAACTTTCCACATGACTTGTTGCATACAATTAGAGTATACTGTATGTGGCAACAACAAACATGCCTGTGTGCTTGTATCCTTCAAAAAATGTAGTTTTGACACCAGTGCTGTATCCCAAATATCCCCTGCTTCTATTTTTGATGAGGTACAGCTACTCTGGTCTAGACATGTACTGTATTACAAGTATGTTTACATGCATTGCGAATGAGGCTTCATAAACTGGCATGCAGACAGGAGCACAAACACTGAGGTAGATGTAGGCTTGGAGTTTTAAAATTGGAGTTTTAACTTCCATGAACCTGACATTTCTTTAGTGCTTATTTTTATTATTACATTTATTATATTATATTTATTTATTTATTTATTAATATAAATTATTACCGTTTTATTTTACATTTTTTTATATTACAGTTTAATTGATTATTACTACAACGTATTATTATATAATTTTATCTGGTAGCCTTATTTAAGCCTAATATACACTCTCAGTCAAAAGTTTAAAATAATTTAAAAAAAATTTAATGATAAAACAATATCTTAGGCTCACCAAGGCTGCATTTATTTGAACTTATATATATATATATATTTTTTTTTTTTACATTTATTCCAGTGATAGTAATGCTGGATTTTAAGCAACAATTACGTCAGTCTTCAGTGTCACATGATCCTTCAGAAATCATTCTAATAGGCTGATTTGGTGCTCAGTTATTACTGGTGCTCAAATTATTATTAATAATGGTTCTTATTATCACTGGAAACTTTTGCTGCTTAATATTTTTTGTGGAATATTTTTCCCCTCAGGATTATTTGATAAATGGAAAGTTAAAAAGAACAGCACTTATTTGAAATAGATCTTATAACATTATAAATGTCTTTACTGTCACCTTTGATCAATTTAATGTGCCTATGCTAAATAAAAGTATTAGTAAATAAAAAAATTTGTTTTAATCTTCCCTCAAACTTTTAAATAATGAAAGTGACAGTGAAAGTGACGTGACATGTGGCCAAGTATGGTGACCCATACTCGGAATTAGTGCTCTGCATTTAACCCATCCAAAGTGCACACACACAGCAGTGAACACACATACACCGTGAACACACACCCGGAGCAGTGTATCACATAATGTATATCATATTTAAATATATATGTATCATAATGTATATCATAATGTAAATAATGTATCACAGTTTCCCAAAAATTAAGCAGAACAACTATTTTCAACATTGCTAATAATAAGAAATATTTCTTGAGCACCAAATCAGCATATTAGAATGATTTCTGAATTATCATGTGACACTGAAGACTGGAGTAATGATGCTGAAAATTCAGCTTTGCATCACAGAAATAAATTCTATTTTAAAATATATTAAAACAATAGAAAATAGTTATTTTAAAACGTAATAATATTTAACAATATTACAGTTTTTACTGTATTTTTGATCAAATAAATCCCTCCTTGGTGAGCATAAGAGACTTTCAAAACAAAAAATCTTAAATATTCAAAACTTTTGACTGGTAGTGTGTGGAAATGTACTGACTTGACTAACCACAGACAAAAGAGGGGGAGACCACTGGAGGACAGGAGGTCTTTAAAGAAACTAGCAAGCATGTGTGTATGTGAATATGTGCTTGTGTGTGTTTGTGTGCGTGTTTAGGGTGGACACAGGTGAGCACTTGCCTGTTTTTGCTGTGATCCTTCTTTTCCTTTGCCTTTCTTGCCATGTTTACTAAGGGGACAAAAATACAAAAATTGCATGAACAATGTAGCCATCTGGTTGAAGGAGGACTCAACTTGTTATGTAATTGTCCAATAGTCTCAGCCTTAGATGGACCACCCTCAATCTATTCACAAGAGAGTGAGGGTACACTGATTTTTATTTATTTATTTTTTAACAGTTGGCTTGAACAGTTGTTCAAGGTTGATACAACAAGCACTTTAAAAGCACTATAGAAGAACTATTAACTAGATTTGCCAAAGTTTGTAATTTACAAGTAGAACAGTATATTGAGTGAGTTACTGTACATTAATACTTCATATTTATGGACGGACTATAACTATAATGGACAGGCACATAAAAACAAAACAAAACAGTGGCTGGTTACTCAAATGTCACTCTTCCTGACTAAGTGTGCGGATCTTGGTAAAATAGTAGTGCATTTAGTCCGGCTATGCAAGAATAGGTGACTTAGTAATCCCCAGTTTGGTTGGGGGTTCTGTCAATGCCTTGCTCATGACGTGTGTGTTTTTGTGTGAGTGTGTGACTGGTGGGGATCTGGGCTGTGTCGTGGTAAGCGTATGCGTGTGAACAGGAGTGTGTGTGTCAAGGCCAGGCAGAGGGTCGGGTCGGGCTTGAGGGAGCAGATGCTCCCAGACTGACCTCATGCTCAAGCTGAACACTCGTCTGGCGACCAGGAAACGCATCAGATAGTAAATTGCCACAATGAGGATCAGCAGTCCCAACACTACGCCAATAATGGCCCCTGTTATCACACCAGCCTGGACTGGAACTGAGAGAAAAGGAGAGAATATAAAGTGAGAAGTGTTGAGGACTGCAGATTAAAGAGCTCCTGTACAGTTTTACTGATCTAGTAGTTGCATTATGTTTTTGCCTTAATGCACCTTTTATGTGGTGTGGATTTTTACAGACACGACTATATTACTGAAAAATAACTCCAAACAACATCAATCAATGTTCACCTGGAAATGTTCTAATTTTTTCCTCCCAACCAAGCCAGCATATACCACTAATACCGCACTGAGAAGTTAAATTTCTGGCGACCAGGAAACGCATCAGATAGTAAATTGCCACAATGAAGATCAGCAGTCCCAACACTACGCCAATAATGGCCCCTGTTATCACACCAGCCTGGACTGGAACTGAGAGAAAAGGAGAGAATATAAAGTGAGAAGTGTTGAGGACTGCAGATTAAAGAGCTCCTGTACAGTTTTACTGATCTAGTAGTTGCATTATGTTTTTGCCTTAATGCACCTTTTATGTGGTGTGGATTTTTACAGACACGACTATATTACTGAAAAATAACTCCAAACAACATCAATCAATGTTCACCTGGAAATGTTCTAATTTTTTCCTCCCAACCAAGCCAGCATATACCACTAATACCGCACTGAGAAGTTAAATTTACTGTTTAAAAGGGAAACAAAGAAGAAAATCAAAAACATCTGTGCAAAAAAGCATTTATTTGATGAATTAGGCTCTGTGTGAGGCATTTGGATTCAACAATGACTATTTTTCACTGAAATTGTACTCTCAGAAAAAAATGCACAACCACACAAGAAACCACTCGGGTCTCCGTTTACTGTTATTTTGTACTTCCATTAGCAGCAAACTTTCATCTTCTGCCATATGATCTCCTAGATTTTGTATGCCACCCTGAAATAAGATGGGCCTAAAGGCAAAAAGCAGTCTTGATAGTAACTGCAGCAAGAGGCGAAAGCAAAGGAGGAACTCGAATGGCTTTCTTTTGTAAGGTGTTTCTCTGCAAAGAAGCCATTTTTGTTTTTCAAAATAATTTTTTATTAGTCGATGAAGACAAAAATGTTCATAGTGATCTGTTACCCTTCTCAAACACCAGCAGTCGAACGCTGGAGGGGCGGCCGGCAATGTCAGGTGGGTTCTTGGCGTCACAGGTGAAGGTTCCGTTGTCTGAGAAGTCGAGGTTCTTGATCAGGATAGAGCCATCACGGCGACTGGGGTTCCCTACAAATTCCAGACGGTCCCGGAATGGGCCTTTGCTATCCAAGTAGGCAGCTCCACCTACGTAGTGGAAAATCTAAATAATGATAAAAAGCTGTTATCATCCTATATCTTATCATAAAATGTAAAACTACTTATGATTATATATATATATATGATATGATTATATCAAATGCATCAATTAAAAAGAAAGCAGAGAATCTTCACAGCAAAACTACCTACAGTGTAAAATGAATGCAGCCGGTTGGCCAACTTAAAGACTTGCACGGCAAGAAGAACTACACCCACAAGGACCTAATGTTTCTGTTTGCATGGTAATTATCTCTACAAACCACACAGACACATGGATATTATTCCCAAGGGGTGGGCATGTTTTCATACAGATATGAGTTACACTACCAGTGCAAACACCTTTTAACAGGTTTAGGGAAATGCAATCACACTACATTAATAATATGAGGCTTCATGCTGTAATTGTAAATTAAAATAATTATTAAAAACTTGTGAAACTAAAGCTCTCAAGCAAGCACTGCCTTTTTTCTTTTCTTTTCAGATATTCTGGAATATAGACAACAATAAGGCATCCAGTCAAATAAAGTGATGTGATGAAAAAATATGAATCTTTTGATTTGGTTAAAATGCCTTTGTTGCCTTGGTTTGCTGAAGAATGCTTGACTATTCAGAAATAAGTGCAATATTTAAAAAACAAATGACCTAAAACTAAATGTGCAATTAATTTGCTTTTAGATGTAGATTAGTCAATACATTTATTATAAAATGTTCTGTAAATTAGCTTTGTGTGTTTGTCTGTATAGACAACATCTTATAAAGAAAGTTCACCCAAAAACAAACTTTGTCATTTATTCTCACTCATGTTCTTTCATACCTGTGTAACTTTGTCTCTTGCAAAGGAAGATAAAAAAAAAAGATGTTTAGCAGACTGTACAGGCAACTCTTTTATTTATGATGAATATGGATGGGGGCCTGGGTAAAGAAAAGAGAAGCCTGGACATTCTGCCAAATATCTCTTATGTGTTCCATGCTATAGTACGCTATATTTACCCATTTTGGGTTAACTATTGCTTTAAATAATTTCTTACACATATCTCTAGAGCAGAAAAAGTGTAGGTGTGTGTTTCTACGCACTGCGATGCCTTCTTTCGCCCCATCTGGACGGTAGTGCCACGAGAAGGTTAAGTACACGTTAGAAAGCATTACAAAAGCTCAAAATCATTGAATAGACAGCTGATACAAAAATAAACCTTGACCCAGAACAAAAACAAGAACAAACGCTTGTTTTTGTAATGTCCTTGATACTGCAGCTTATTCTCGTTGATATTTTTGCGCATTTAGAAAACAAGGAACAAAATAAAATTAAAAACAAATTTAAAAAAGAACTAAATACCTGCAGATTTAATTATAAGAATGAAATGTTCTATTTAAAACAGAAAACAGCAGTTAAAATTAAGGAAAGATTCTCTCTATTCTTTCTGATCTACCGCATCTCTCAAACCTGGCCCGTTTTGAACAGGTAAGCGACAGGTGCACAAACCACAGGTGAGTCTGAAAATACATTTATTATAAAATGTTCTGTAAATTAGCTTTGTGTGTTTGTCTGTATAGACAACATCTTATAAAGAAAGTTCACCCAAAAACAAACTTTGTCATTTATTCTCACTCATGTTCTTTCATACCTGTGTAACTTTGTCTCTTGCAAAGGAAGATAAAAAAAAAAGATGTTTAGCAGACTGTACAGGCAACTCTTTTATTTATGATGAATATGGATGGGGGCCTGGGTAAAGAAAAGAGCAGCCTGGACATTCTGCCAAATATCTCTTATGTGTTCCATGCTATAGTACGCTATATTTATCCATTTTGGGTTAACTATTGCTTTAAATAATTTCTTACACATATCTCTAGAGCAGAAAAAGTGTAGGTGTGTGTTTCTACGCACTGCGATGCCTTCTTTCGCCCCATCTGGACGGTAGTGCCACGAGAAGGTTACGTCTGGAGAAGTCCATTGCCAAGAGAAGAAAGAGCAAGAGAGTCTGACATCTGAGCCCACCAGCGCATGTCTCTCCCAGCTTGTGTACACAACAATAGCCGTAATCTGAGAGGCTGGAGCATACAAACACACAGAGTGAGGAAAATTAGCCTACATGGAGACAAATCTAAAAAATGAATAAAACCGTAATATTAGAGATGTGAAATGCAAATAATAATAATTATATATATATATATAATTTATATATATATATATTTATATATATATATAATGTTACCCTTCTCAAACACCAGCAGTCGAACGCTGGAGGGGCGGCCGGCAATGTCAGGTGGGTTCTTGGCGTCACAGGTGAAGGTTCCGTTGTCTGAGAAGTCGAGGTTCTTGATCAGGATAGAGCCATCACGGCGACTGGGGTTCCCTACAAATTCCAGACGGTCCCGGAATGGGCCTTTGCTATCCAAGTAGGCAGCTCCACCTACGTAGTGGAAAATCTAAATAATGATAGAAAGCTGTTATCATCCTATATCTTATCATAAAATGTAAAACTACTTATGATTATATATATATATATGATATGATTATATCAAATGCATCAATTAAAAAGAAAGCAGAGAATCTTCACAGCAAAACTACCTACAGTGTAAAATGAATGCAGCCGGTTGGCCAACTTAAAGACTTGCACGGCAAGAAGAACTACACCCACAAGGACCTAATGTTTCTGTTTGCATGGTAATTATCTCTACAAACCACACAGACACATGGATATTATTCCCAAGGGGTGGGCATGTTTTCATACAGATATGAGTTACACTACCAGTGCAAACACCTTTTAACAGGTTTAGGGAAATGCAATCACACTACATTAATAATATGAGGCTTCATGCTGTAATTGTAAATTAAAATAATTATTAAAAACTTGTGAAACTAAAGCTCTCAAGCAAGCACTGCCTTTTTTCTTTTCTTTTCAGATATTCTGGAATATAGACAACAATAAGGCATCCAGTCAAATAAAGTGATGTGATGAAAAAATATGAATCTTTTGATTTGGTTAAAATGCCTTTGTTGCCTTGGTTTGCTGAAGAATGCTTGACTATTCAGAAATAAGTGCAATATTTAAAAAACACATGACCTAAAACTAAATGTGCAATTAATTTGCTTTTAGATGTAGATTAGTCAATACATTTATTATAAAATGTTCTGTAAATTAGCTTTGTGTGTTTGTCTGTATAGACAACATCTTATAAAGAAAGTTCACCCAAAAACAAACTTTGTCATTTATTCTCACTCATGTTCTTTCATACCTGTGTAACTTTGTCTCTTGCAAAGGAAGATAAAAAAAAAAGATGTTTAGCAGACTGTACAGGCAACTCTTTTATTTATGATGAATATATATGGGGGCCTGGGTAAAGAAAAGAGAAGCCTGGACATTCTGCCAAATATCTCTTATGTGTTCCATGCTATAGTACGCTATATTTACCCATTTTGGGTTAACTATTGCTTTAAATAATTTCTTACACATATCTCTAGAGCAGAAAAAGTGTAGGTGTGTGTTTCTACGCACTGCGATGCCTTCTTTCGCCCCATCTGGACGGTAGTGCCACGAGAAGGTTACGTCTGGAGAAGTCCATTGCCAAGAGAAGAAAGAGCAAGAGAGTCTGACATCTGAGCCCACCAGCGCATGTCTCTCCCAGCTTGTGTACACAACAATAGCCGTAATCTGAGAGGCTGGAGCATACAAACACACAGAGTGAGGAAAATTAGCCTACATGGAGACAAATCTAAAAAATGAATAAAACCGTAATATTAGAGATGTGAAATGCAAATAATAATAATTATATATATATATATAATTTATATATATATATATTTATATATATATATAAATACAATAACCTGAGAATGAATCCTCTCTCTCACTCTCCAGCCAGTTAATAAAAGCATCGCAGCATCTGTTTGACAAGGAAAGATCAAATTTGAAGGACAATGACACTGCAGCAATAAAGACAATCTCTGAGTTGGATAATGTTTGGAGTTCAGTGTGTGTGTGTGTGTGTGTATCTGTGGTTTAATACTCTGATACCTCCCTTCTTCTTATCCTGTCACGGTTGAGTGCTGTTTGTCTGTAACCCTTCCTCTCTTATGCTGATGATTCGGCTCTATAAACAAAACCTACCCTGAGAAGACGCTGGTCTGAAACCACAATGAGCTGCAGGTCTTTTCCATCTCACCTGTCCTGACCCGGTCGCCATCTGCCTGCCACTCACATTCACCGTAACAGGAAGGACGATGGATAGGAAGGTGACGGGTGTAATTTATGTGCCGCCAGCATCACAAAATAATGTAATATTGTTTTCAAACAGGTTTCCTGTCCATTCCCCCATCTTCCATTATTCGGACAAACAGGATTTCATGCCCCAAATACAAGACAAATGGTTGAGCCAATGTTGCCAGAGCAATGTTTTGATGTGCCATGGTGTTTACACTATCGGAGGAATCAACCTACCTTAATTTGCATATTAAACTGGACCAACACGTCATCTTTAACCCTATAAAGCCTACTGTATTATATTTGATATATGAATCCCTAAGACCTCTAAATTATCAGCATGATCAAAGCTACTGTTGAACACAATCTACTACATGCCTTCCGTCATTTGATTGCTAGTTTATACTCTTTTAGTAAGTAAAACGGCTTCTAGTATAATTGTAAAAATTTTACTGTTTTCTGTAAAATCTATAATGATTTTAATAAAGTAAACATAAGATTACTTTTTATATTTTTATTAATATTGCAAGAATAACATTTACTGGACTGGAGCAACTTATAGGTTTATCTGATTATATATCATCAGTACATAATGTTTTAGAAAAATTATGTTAAAACTATCAAATATGATAAAACGGGCTTTGAAGAACATTTATTTGTACATCTTTCGATCATCATTGTATTGTATTTGCATTATAGTTTTCCAAACAATGAAAACTACAGAGTTTTGATCATAAAACTAAGCATTTTAATATCATCTTAATAATGTATAATATTGGGAAATATAGAGTGACAACTAATATTGATATGCATTTTATGTACGTAATTTGCTGTACTGTTCTCAGTTATTTATATTAAAGGTATTACAATTTTAATTTTCACTTTTTGGCCACATAAAAACAACATCTGCAAACAACGCCAAATTGCATATTTATGAAAAAATTGAGCTGCTTCTTCCCTCCTCAAGTATGAGCTCCATATTCTATTATATGTGCCATAAAAGCCTGATGTATCAAATATGTTTTAAAAAATCATATTTAATGTATCAAAACATTTAAAAATCGTATATATTTTTGTCTTTAAAAATGTCAGGTTAATACGTAAGGCTTTACAGGTTTAAAGGGATAGTTCACCCAAAAATTTAAATTCTGTAATTATTTAATCACCATCATGTTGTTTTGGTTACCATTCACTTCAATTTTATAGACAAAAAAAAGTGCTCAAAATATCTTCTTTCATTTATCACATAAGACAAAAAGTCCGTTTGGAAAAAAAAGTTTGGAATGACATAACAGTGAATAAATTATTACATATTTTTGCATTTAAATTTATGCATTTAGCAGGCACGTTTATCTGCCTTTGTTACATTGCATTCAAGATATCCATCTTCTCAGTTCATGTATTCCCTGGTATCTGAACCCATGACCTTGGCATTGTTTGTGCTACACTCTGTCCCTTTAACAACAAACAAGTTAAATGAATGCATGTTGACAACATCACATCAAGGAGTAAAGAAAGACAGGGAGAGAGAGAAAGTCACCTCTTGACCCCGTTTCTCCTCTCGCTGCCCTTTCACCAGGACACATTTATGTGATGAGACAAAGACATCTCTTTCTTCATCCTTCTCTTTTTCCATTTCTCCCTCTCTTCAGATTCCTCTCCTCTGCTGACGTCTTCCAGACACCACAATACAGAGAGACAGAGACAGACAGAAAGACATGGGGTGAGCGGGCGGGCCTAATTTAGAGCTGCTTTCTTTCTCTCCCACCATCGTTGTGTCTGTAGACAAAGGTTTGCATTCTTTTCCTCCTCCAGTCTCTCACCCACTCCTCTTATTCCAGTAAAATGGCATTAAAACGGATAGAACATATTAGAGAGGGAGACATAAACACGAGTTGATATAAGGACACTAGCATAGCGATTTAATAAAAGTGACAATTTTGAAGGAGAATCGGGTATCTTTTGAATGTACAGTGAAGATCACAAATTTCAAACTTTGGTCTCCAATAAGATGGCATGATCACCTTTCCTTCATAAACAGCAAAACCGCATTAGTTGACCGGCTCAACTGATTCATTATATTCAGCAGCAAAGCTTTTCCTGCTGGAAAAAAAAAAGTTAAACCAGTTCAGCTAAAAGCATCTTATTAGTTTTAGATACACTACCATTTAAAAGTTTAGAGTCTGTACATTTTTAAAAGAAGTTTTTGAAATAAGTTTCGTTTGCTCACCAAGGCTGCATTTATTTGATTTAAAAAAAGCAATATTGTAAAAACTTATTACAATTTTAAATAAGTGCTTATTATTTGAATATATTTAAAATTTTAATTTATTCCTGGGATGTAAAGCTAAATTTTCAGCATCATTACGCAGTCTCCAGTGTCACATGATCCTTCAGAAATCATTCTAATGCTGATTTGCCACTCTTTCTTATTATTATCAATGTTGAAAACAGTTCAATATTGCTTAATAGTATTGTGGAAACCATAATTCTTTTTTACAGGATACTTTGATGAAATTTCAGCATTTATTTGAAAGATATATGAATTTGTAACTATTTAAAAGTCTGTCACTTTTAATCAATTTAATGTGTCCACACTGAATAAAAGTAATAATTTCTTTCAAAAGAAATAATCTGAGCCAAATCCTTTCAGTAGTAGTTCATATATCAAAGTATCACAAAGATATGGTACAGTAGTTTTCGATATGAGTTTATAGGGGAATAACTAGTTTGACTGTTTTGCTGCTAAGCAAGCTAACAGGCTAGATAATAAAGTAAAAATAAATATATGCACATTATAAATGCAACTAATGACAGTTTACTTAACTTGAGAAATGTATAATACACACTGGGCAGTATATCAGCTAACAAAAGCAGCCGAATATGACGTTCCAGTTGGTTTCCAAGGTTACGGGTCCCTTCTCCCCGTCTTTTTTTCAGTTCAGATCTACAGGGACTGTGAACCTTATTAGACATTTCAGCAAATATGCCAGTTTAGGCATTTTTGGCCAATTTTTTATAATCCTGGGGGAGATACAACTACAAACATACGGACAAATAAGAATACATAACTCAAAGATGAGAATGCATAAACAAGGCTATGCAACTGAGTTTACGCTAATGCAAGTACATTAGACATGTTTGTTGCATACGGATGGAAATCAAAGAGCATGACCACAGTGTTGACATTGGGTTTGACTTTGACAGCAAGACCAATCAAAATGCACCATCAGCTGAATCCCAAATGAGAGCTACTGGAACACACAGTCTTGAGTGACAGCTGTAGAATGAGCACAGGGAAAGAAAGACGGGCTGGTGAAAAACCTGCAAAAGAGAGAAAATTGAGAAAAGATAAGAAATGACTGTATGTGAAGCAAAAAACAGAAGCAAAAAAGCTGCAGTGTATACACGAGAATAAACCACTGAAGTGTAGACTAATGTGAAATGGAATTGAAATGATTGCATATCTACTTTATATACTGCTGAAAGTGTCTTTACAAATAACTGTAAAAATATGCAAAAACACCTTAAAGATTTGGCTGGGAGTTTTGAAGGGAAGGTCATTTTATGTCAACCATACCGAAATATTATCACTGCTTATATGTTAGTGTTTTAATGGTATCCATATACACATGCTGTGCTAATCATGTCTGTGGTTTAACAAGATCTCAAACTGGATAAAATAAGATCATTTTAACGGCCGTCAAGGTTACAAGTGACATCAGAGAATATTTTAATACATAAACTGTAATATAGCCTATTCTTTATATTATCACCCTAATAAAAAATAAATAAATAAAAAATAAAAAAAACAAGCTGTGTGACATCAAACATATGCCTACTAGCAACAAAGGTGATAGGAGTTACAAGTGGCATCAGAGAATATTTTAATACATAAACTGTAATATAGCCTATTCTTTATATTATCACCCTAATAAAAAATAAATAAATAAAAAAAACAAGCTGTGTGACATCAAACATATGCCTACTAGCAACAAAGGTGATAGGTAAAATAAAAATAAAATAAAATAACTTTAGGCCTGTTAGCACTAATATCAGATATTATTTAAATATGTTAATATATTCTTCTTATCTTCACAGACAGCCTAAATGGACCATTATACACAAAAATATGTAGCTTCTTATATATTAAGAAGGGGATCATTATATTTGGTAGTCTTTGACAATGAAAAGTTAGAAAAGCCATTATTTAACACACTAAAACTTAAGACAATGTTCACAGTCGGGCCACTAATGGCATCACACACATCCGCTGAAAATAATCAGAGTGATACGATAGAGTCTCACAATGCATAAACTGTCCTAAAAGAGCCTCAAAACAAATGCAGAGTATTTTGGGAAACCAAAACTAATCCATCAGAGCACACAAAGAACATACAGAGATCCAGAGTATAATAATGCATGACAAATTAAAAATTTTAATATAAAAAAAACTATAGTATCGAATGACACTAAACTGACAAGAAAGCCAAAATACAGTTCGATTGTTTCAAATTTAAACAATGCTTTATTATTTTAAATCTAAACCTTTTTGTGAAGTGTATTGCTACAAAAATGCCACTTGTTTTGAGAAATGATATCATTTGTTATAATATGTTCCAACAATTATATAATTTAAATGTGGTTTAACCAAAGACTATAGAAAGGGACTAAGCGAATACCATGCAGTGTACATTATATCTGATGACATTAGGCCTATAGGTCACCGAATAGACACATCCACACACACTCCACCGCAAAAGACCACTTAAAGGGATAGTTCACCCAAAAATGAAAATTCTGTCATCATTTACTCACCCTCATGTCGTTCCAAACCTGTATGAGTTGCTTTCTTATGTTGAACACAAAAGATCTTTAAAACTGTCTGACATCATCAAACCCAAGCCATTTGGACTGTGGCAGCAACACACACACACGCCTAATGGCAACAGAGCAGACATTCAGCTGGGTCACATCAGGACAAAGAAGCGATCTGTCTTTTCTTCCTCCCTCCATTCTACCCTCGGCTCTTGTTCTCACATGGCAGGGATGGCACAGGGAGCACCAAAACAAGAGATGCAGAGGGGCATAAACTGGAGAACAAAAGCATTGTTTGGAATCAAAGATGAGTTATTGTTTTGAGGAACCGTGTGCTTGAGTAGGAGTGGAGAGAGAGAGAGAGAAATTTGGGGCAAGTATGGTGTTATACTTTCTCTCTGGCCCTTGTCAATGGAGGAGGACAGAGAACGGGCCTCGTTTGACTCATTCCACCGATTCTGTGAGCGAAAACACTCTCAGGGAGTGTTTGCTGTTAAGTTAGTATGACACACACGCGGTCCTCTGGGTGGAGAGCGGTTTATTTACCCTGAGAAAAGTCTGGCAGTGAAACCTTTGAGCGCTCGCACACATATTCTGGTCCATACTCAAGGAATACAAGCCTAGAAGTGATAGGTCAGGCAAGAATGAAAAATGTCATTATTTACTCACCCTCAAGTCGTTCCAAACACGCACGTCTCTTTTTTTGGATCATAAAAGGAGAAGTGATGAAGACAGCGAACAGGTACCAAAGCTTTCAAGCTTCAAAAAGGACAGATGAACTCATCATAAATGTGGTCCATATGACTCGTACGCTAGGCTATTTTTCTTTCCGAAGACTTCTACAGTCATACAATAGTGCATAATGTACAAATGCGTGAGCTCAAATTTAAAGGCATACTTCATGAAGGGAAAATAAATAACTCAATGACTTACCTTAATGTAGTCCAGAACCTGTATTATTTCTTGTACGAAACACAAAATATACTATAAAAGATCAACTCTTTTTGTCCATACAAAAATACAAAACTTGTATGGACGAAACTGCTCAAATAATTAAAAAAGTAATTTTTATTTAGTAAAAATAAAACCACAGAAAACAAATAATGCATCGATATGCTGAGAATGGAATACTAGCATACTGCACAGTATGCACTTTTTGAAAGTAGAACGATAAAGTACACAATAAAAAATAAATTTTTACCTTATACATTGTCACATTTTTGTGTAAAAATGTTTTTACTGTTGACAGTCCAAGCAAATAATCTACGTTTTCACATTAGAAATGAAGTCAAGCACAATGCATTAAGGGAAGCACCTACACAGTGCTCTGTACAATGGACACTTCACTAAAATGTGAAAAAAATAAAAAATAAATTTAAGCTGAACAGAAAAAAATATATATATAAACGCACAAAAAAAAAATTCCTAAAACAGACTTAAAATAAAATGCTAACTCAATTATATTAATAAACAATATAACAGTACATTAATACTAAAAAAAACAGTTTCTCAGTAAACATACTGCATAGTAAAGGTAGTATGCCATTCTGAGCGAGCCCTGTGTATATATTAGGACGATTAGATTGGTTCAGTTCTTGGATTCCAGTTAATAAAAAAACATGTGGTTATAACACATGCCCTTACTAATGAACAGCAGAGTAATTTAGCCGAATGCTTCAAGGCTCTTAGGGAAGCACCTACACAGTGCTCTGTACAATGGACACTTCACTAAAATAAGTGAAAAAAATAAAAAAATAAATTTAAGCTGACCAGAAAAATATATATATATAAACGCACAAAAAAAATTCCTAAAACAGA